AGGGGGGATCTGGACTATAACGCGAATATTAAGAAGTTTAGGGATCCGCAGTACCTTCAGACGGTCTGATATGGCCAGGGATAGGGGCAAAAAACGACAATTATAAGGTGTCCCCCTGCGCACTTTTTTCAATGAAGGGGCCACATCGGGGATTTACCCCGTCGTAGCCCCCTCTGGCCCCGCCATAGACTCCTCACGAGGTGCGGCTGTAAGGGGGCTGGTGCTGGCAGGGTAGGAACTTCCGGAGGAGCGCAACCAACGAAATAGACCGAGGGGAGGCGTTGACGTTGCGTGCAACTGGCCTTTAACCGTGGCCGCCCTTCCCATCTTTTCGCTCCCGATTTTATTCCGATTGTGAATTCTACAGACGAGCGAACGCAGATTTTGGGGCTGAACATGAGTTAGGTGAGTAGGAAATAGCCAATCGATATTGATTTATTTCCGCCGTGATTCCCTGGAATGCGCCATACCGATATGCTCCCTCACTGAGTCATCGTTTGAGAGTGCGGCAATGTGCCCTTGCCACGAAATCCTTTCATCCCATTGGATCGAGACCGCAAGGGGTGGAAAACAAGCTTATGCACTTGACGAATTGATTTTCCTGACGTATTCGAATTTGCTGCAATCAGATTCAACAGACAAATCCAGAAAGAGGTGTTTTTTCGATCGAGCGTCTATAATATTACACGAAACCATCAGCAGACTGTGAAAATGGGGACGGACTCAGACTTTTGCACTTCGCTCCTGTTGCAAGAAACCCCTAGGGCTGTGTACCAAATTTCCAGCAAGAAAGCGCCAGGCGCTGAGTCATCCCCAACCGAGTATGGCGGTCCTCAGTTCCTGAACAAGCTCACCTCGTGCTATCAGGAGATTCAAAGACAAGGACAAATGACCCGGGACGTCAAAAACGCTACCGTCGTTCAGCAATAAAAGCAAAAGGCAAACCAACATCGCTGCGAAAACCACAGAAATATCGTCGCAGGAAAATCTTCATCCACGTCCTGCTCAATAGCCTGAATCCTCACCTGGAGTAAGCACTTCTCCCTGAAAGGCAGTGATAAATGGTAAAGGGCACCATCACCATGATCTTCGCCAGCCGGAAACCGCAAGACAAGGAACGATGTCGAGACTCCGCAGCACCCTCGCTGATTCGGCAAACTGCTCTCGATACAGTCGACCGCGATGGACCCTGGGGGAATCATAGTGAAATCAGACGTCGGCAGTGCGACAAGCCATCGTCAAAATGAGGGCTCACAGCACAGACGACGATGGGCAGTCGTGTACTCGCTTCCATTCTCCTCGGTCTCATGCTCTACGTCATGCTGAGGGAAGTCTGGCATGGAGAACTGCCAGGAATCACTCGACCCGGACGGACGGACAGCTGACTAGCATCCGATGCATACAGATAATCACGCAAGTCTTCACGAACAGTTTTCTCGACCGGCGGTTTACGGATTACTGCACGTCAACAAACACTGCGTTGCAGCACAACCCCGGGGTGAACAGTCTGCAATTTATTCTTCCAAACTTCGATCAGGCAGTGATGTGCATTCATGAGTGTGTAAATGACTAATGAACCTAAACTGTCCTTTTTCACCACGAGGGTTTCCATACAGCAGGTTCTGTTAGTGTCCAGTAGGTTTATCTCATTACGACCGGGTAGAAGCGTTCGCGTTGGACGTCTGATTCGATTGCCTTGAATATTTTTAACATTTGCAAGCAGAAAGGTCAGTGCGGATGTTTTAATCCACCGAAATATGTATGGTTCTTTTCGGCTATTTCATTCGATGCACAGTAGGTGGACTAGCTCATGAAATATCACCTGAAATTCCGATATGCGTTTTCGTTCCGAAAAGATTAATTATGTTGGGCAATAAAAGTACTCAGCAAGCAACATAATTCTATAATATTTCAGCTACCTCAGAATGCCGGCTTTCGAATGAACCTCCATCCGATTGCATGCGAAAACTACACGCTATAAAAATGCTACTTAATTAGCATGAATTGTTCTCATTGATTTTCGATGCCCCTAAAAGTCCAATTATATCTCATGAAAAACATGCATAAAAATATTCATTCTTTTGCTCATTTGGTAAACAATTACATCTTCTACCAATTTTATACTCGAAGAAAGAGTATCATTCGGTTTCTAACAACTTTTCCAATTTCGGAATAATTTTGTTCCCGCTCTGCCATCACATTTGAATTCAGGGTTTTCAGTCTTCAAGCTGTATGCTTTTCGCGTACGGAAAACCATACATTCCTCTGTGGCATTAAGAGGTGACTATAGCGGTCGCCTTCGGCTAGTTCATTCGATGTACGCAGGTATTTGTTTGACATTGTCGGTTTCGCTCTCTCATCCCTCCACCATGTCCAAATCCGTCCCCCGGACAGGTTTTGGAATAGGACGAAATGGATGACGCATCAAGAAGGTCTGCGTCTGGGCTGTTATGCCACCACATCCCTCCAATGGTTCGGTAGTAGCTACGACTACGCGCGTCTCTGAGCAGTCTTATAAACCCGCAAAGTGAGCCCAAATGATCTGGTTTAGCGAATCTGCAGCTCAGTCTGCTGTGGGGGCAATAGAAAAGGGCCGTATTAGTGACTGCGAGGCCGGTGAGCAGTTAGGAGGCTGTACGCGGCAGTACGATATGCACTAGCCCTGGAACTCACGCCCCGTCCGACAGACTGGATATCAGTCGTCCTCGTTTCACCAAGACCGAGTCAAAGTCTTGCAAGAGACTGTTGCATTTAACACACCTAGCACTTCTCTAAAATTTTGGCAATTATAAAATCGTTTCTAAGAGTGGCCAGTGGAGCGAATAGTTTTTCTGCGAATGCCTGAATTTGCACACTCTTCCCACCTTTTGGCCACACCCGAAACATGAATACGTGATATGCCCCACTGCTTAACGGAGATTAAATCCCGCCACGTTGGAATGCCACCGTAAAAATGTCCTTGATCTTATGTGTCAGTATGCTTATGTCCGATCGCTTATCCAGTAGCCAACCCTCTAACGTGTATCAGTCTATGATAACGCAGCTGTCTGGTTTGACGACTCAGTTATTTCGTCAACGACGGACATCGAATGCTGAATGTTTAAGAGCACATTGATGCTTCGGCGAACCGTTTCATGCATGATATTTTGATAATCCCTATTCGTTGTTTGTAAGGTACAAGAGTAGATGGGAGCCACCTCCGCGCACCTTCTGGTAACGCCATGGTGTTTTCGAGCCAAAAACAAGTTGTATCGTTTTGGGAGAAGTTTCAGTATGTCACTCGAGGGATCAGTCTAGGCATTGCTATCCAGGAACCTCTGGCATCCCGCCAAAAAGGACAACATCGCCCAGGACGGCACGCCATTTTCATTTTTTCCGACCCGTGCATCCACCCCTTGACAATGATGAGTCGACAAGGTTCTCATAAACAACAGAAGATCAGTAAACCGCTCCTTATGAACGTTCCGACTTTTGATAAAGAGAGACGGGAGAATTCGCTTTATTTTGAAAGTCCGGATTGAAACTTGTAAGCAAAAGGTGGCTGCATCCATCTTGGGCAGAATTTTTAGCAAACAGATTACCCAAGAATCAAAACGTCCTGCTCCGAGAGGAACGACTGTTATCGGGCCAGTTCAAGTCTTAGCTTCTTCACTCCTGCACACGTGAGATAGCAAGCCAGCAATGGCCAAGCAGAATGCTGATACGCCGATGTAAGACAAGAGATAAGTCGTAAGCCACGGGGCGAGAGGACTTCGCAGAAATTGGTTCAGAATGCAGGGCAGGGGCAAAGCCAATCAGAATATGTCCAGCAAATTGCCTCACCTACTTGAGATGCGATCGCATCTTCGTCTTCTGAAACTATTTCCGTTGGACGTCGAGGGTGTCAAAGGAGCAACATAAACGATGGGTTGCATAACTCATGAAAGGTGTCGAAATTTACGAATGTTCGTTAATTACTCACAAACCAAAATCAGTGCACGAACCTAAT